GTACAAACCCAGCCCGGGATGGCCATTCCCGGTACAAACCCATCCCGAGATCGCACATTCTGCACAGGGACAGGGACAGCTCACCCTGAGGCTGCTGCGGCTCCAGGAGCCGCCAGCCCAGCCTCATCCATTGCCCATCCATTGCCCACTTCCCCATCCATCCTCATCAGCTGGAGATGGAATCCTGAGGTGCCAGAGAGGTGCTGAGCTCCACAGGCAGCCAGAGACTCCCATCCCTTCCACCCCTTGGCTGTAGGAATAGGCAGCACATCCCTTCTCCTTGTAGGAACAGTCAGGATACCCCTTTTCCTTGTAGGAACAAAAAGGATACCCCTTTTCCTTGTAGGAACGGCCAGGACATCCCTTTTCCTTGTAGGAACAAAAAGGATATCCCTTCTCCTTGTAGGAACAGCCAGGATACCCCTTTTCCTTGTAGGAACAAAAAGGATACCCCTTTTCCTTGTAGGAACAGCCAGCACATCCCTTTACCCCTCATGTCCCAAACCCAAACATTTCCTGTCCCTCCCCTCACTGCCATCAGCTCTGCCCACACCACCCTCCATCCCAAAATGTTTTTTTCTTCTCTAATGAAGCTGTTCCCAGCCCAGTGTCCAGTTAAAAATACCCACAAGGCCATAGCTGGGGCAGTGGGATGCTCAGGAATTTTGGGGTTATTTGTTATCCCACAAAAGCTGGGGAATAACACACAGGCCAGTTAATGTGAACAGGGAGAGGCACCTTTAGTCTCTGAGTACTTCAAAAAGCCCTTAAATTATGCTCTGAAGCTCATGCATGATATTTACATACTGCTATCTGATAAAAGGCCAGATAATGATGATTTCTAGAAGGGATGAAAGAAAGAGCACAAAAATCTCCCTCCAGCCCCCAGCCCCACTCAGACTTACCCCAAATTCAGCCCAGGGGAAAAGGAGCCACACTCAGCCAAGATGACACTGCCAGTCAGGTGCCATGGCCTTAACAGAGGGAGAGACGAGGGAAAATTAAAATTAAATGGAAATTAAAAGGTCTGAGGGTTGAGAAAACGGCCAAAGAAACACAAAGCTCTAATAAAGGATCTCTCAGTGATTTTGCCACTGAGCACAGCCCCAGCTCCAGGAGCAGGAAAATCCCTTTTCAGTTCTCTGGGAGAAGAGGGAGGAAGCCCTGAGCTCCTCCAGGCTCAAAGGGTGCAGCAGGGAGCCAGGAAAGGCAGGGCACAGGTCCCACGATGCACAGGGACCGGGGGGATTGAGGGGGCTCTGAACCCAGAAAGGACAACCCCAAATCTCCAGGGGTAACCCCAACCTCCCCCTCCAACCCCAACCAGGACTTGGGCCAACTGGTGCTTCCCCACTTGGCAGATTTGGTGTTTTTTACATCAAATGGTCAGGGAGTGACTTAAAAAGCTCTTTTTCAGCTAAGTGGGAACTCCTGTGTGAGAATCAACTCTGGTTTGCCTGAATTGGTGAAGGTGAGACAACCCTCCCCTCCCCATAATCCCCAGAGTAAAAAAAAATTAAAGTTGGGCATTTGGTCAATTTTTATCTAGGATTTAGAAAAAAAAAAATCAAGACTTTAAAATGAATTAATTGAATGAATTAATTAACTCAAACCTCATTAAGTTCAGGCTGGGCAGAGGTCACCTCTCACACCCAACACTCGGTCACACTTTCCACAGCCAGGCAACACAAAAGTGCCTTTTTGGGAGCTTCCCAGTAGCTGTGAAACTGCATTTTTGTGTTTGCTATCTCCAGGAAAGAAGCAAATAAATGTGGAGGGACAAAGAAACAAACTTGCAAGTGCTCAAGTGCTTTTGGTGCCACTCAGGTGGGACGAGGAGCAGGAGCAAAGAAGGGCAGACTGCAGGCATCAGCTTTTTTTTTTTTTTTTTTTTTTTTTTTGTAGTTTTTATTTGAACACAGTATTCTGACAGAATGCAAAGTCAAAATCCTCAGTTAGTATCAGTATTTACACCAGTGAGAATGGGGATAAAGGTGGAGTCGATGTTTCACTCGGTAAAAAGATTTTTTGTTTTTTTCTTTTTTTAACAAGATAGAAGGCCCCCAAAAGTAGGGAATGCTGGGGAAGGATGGCCATGGAGGGGCTGAGAACAACTATCAAAACAGCCTGGTGGTGAAAGACGTGGGGTTTGAAGGCTCCATAGAAAAGTGTGAAAAGAAAACGCCACTCTGGAAGCTGACGGGCGGGATGCACTATTGTCACCTGTACGAATGGTGCAGCACGAGAGAGATGGCACCGCTCCTGTGACACTGGGGACAGGCAGGGGGCAGTGCCACCAACCCTGGGGATGGACAGATGGAACAGCCACGGCAGTGCCACCAACCCTGGAGCAGCCATAGCAGTGCCACCAACCCTGGGGATGGACAGATGGAACAGCCACGGCAGTGCCACCAACCCTGGAGCAGCCACAGCAGTGCCACCAACCCTGGGGATGGACACACAGAGCCACAGCAGTGCCACCAAGCCCAGGATGGACACACAGAGCCACAGCAGTGCCACCAAGCCCAGAGCAGCCATGGCAGTGGGGAGGGGTCACTGGAAGGAGCTGCTCCCTCCTGAGCTCACTCCATCCTGCCCAAACCAGAGCTTTGGGATGGAGGGATCATCCAGCCCAGCCAGTGCCACCCCCAGGCTGTCACCAGGTGCTGGGCTGGGCTCTGAGCTCGTCCCCTTTTGGGACAAAAATGCCAACCCAGGTGGGGCAGCTCCCCCAGTGCCCACCTGGCAGGTGCTGGTGGAGATCCCTGGGCAGGGTTTTGGGATGGGGCTGTGGTTCCTCCCAGCTGCTCAGCACACACAGGTGACAAAAGCAGCCAGAACTGGGCACAAAAAGGGACAAACTGTGCTCACCCACAGGGATGGAGGCACTGCTGCTGCCCAGCTGTGGTATAGATTCATTTCTTTGGGGAAAAGGCTCCATCCTGCCCAAAATCTGCCAGGACAGGCGGGGCAGCCTCAGCTGCACCCCCAGAGCCCTCCCTGGGGTCCCAGGAGCTGAGCAAAACAAAACCAAAAACCCCACAGTGAGCACAGGACAGAGCACTGCCCCTCACAGCTGGAATGGATCCTCACAGCTGGAATGGACAGAGCACTGCCCCTCACAGCTGGAATGCTGGGATGCACTGGAACAGAGGGAATATTCCCAAGGAACACACAGACACAGCCTCCACACCCCTCCTCAGCTCGCTCCTCTCAGTTAAAGGCTTCTGCTCTTTCTAAGAGTTGTTCTCTTCCTCTTTTTGTTTTAAATTAATTCCTGAATATTTATTTCTCATTTTTGTTTCTCAAATCTGAACTAGCGCTACACCTTCCACATCCAAACTATGTTGAAGCTTTTATTATTTCAATACTATGACAAAAAACACGGTTCACACTAAAATAGTCACGCACCCACAGTGCACAAGCTTGCAGATCTAAAGTAGAATTAAAAAAAAAAAAAGAAAATAAAAGGGAAAATAAAATAAAATAAAAATTAAAAGAAAAAAGGAAATAATACCCAAAACCCCAACAGGAGGAACATCTCTATACAATGGGCTGGTCTCTCCCTACACTCCTCTGCCTTCCTTCTGCTCAAAGCTCCTTTTCACCCCCAAATCTCAGTGTTGCTCCACGATTCCTGATAATAAATCCCATTAATCAGCACTCCCACCCCAAATCTCAGTGTTGCTCCACAATTCCTGATAATAAATCCCATTGATTAGCTCCCCCATCCATAATTTAATTTTTCAGGTGCTGCCTCAGCCCTTGCCCAGGGATGGCCCTGGCACAGAATTCCAGCCCCTGCTCCTGATTCCAGGGTGGGTCCTGCAGGCGCTGGACCTGCAGAAGGGCCTGGGCTCTGCCCAGCACCTGTGGGGAAAAGATCTTTTGGGTTTTAGCTTTAGGGTCAGAGGCCATGGTATTTACTGAAATTGGAATTGACTGAAATGGGGATTTTCTGAAATTGGAATTTTCTGAAATTGGTGTTTACTGAAATTGGTATTTTCTGAAATTGGTGTTTACTGAAATTGGGATTTTCTGAAATGGAGATCTTCTGAAATTGGTATTTACCAAAACTGGTATTTTCTGAAATTGGTATTTTCCGAAACTGGAATTTGCTGAAACTGGAATTGACTGAAATTGGGATTTTCTGCAACTGGAATTTTCTGCCCTGATCAGGAGGGATTAATTTGGTCACACACCTGAGCCCAGACCAGCCCAAACTGTCCAACCTCCCTTGAGCCCCTCAGAGCTGCGGGAGGGTTCTGTGAAGGAAAGGGGAGAATGTCCTAAAAAAGCAGAGATGAGATTTCTCTTATGCAGTCAGGCCCAGGTCCAGCGAGGGACTTCAAACTAAATTTAAGGCCAGAAGGATTTTCTCCAGCAACTCCCTGACCCCAAGCAGATTTGGGGATTGCTGGGTAAAGCCCTTGACTGGTGCCAAGAGGTTTGAACACGCCCGCCCCCCAAAAAAACCCCAAACCAAACCCCAGCATCGCTTTTCTTCTTACTCCAGTAAGAAATAATAATAATAATAATAACAATAATATAATAATAACAATAATTAAGAAAAGAGAAAAGGGGAAACGACTACTGTAAACATCCATGGTTGAAAATGTCTCCCTTTGCAAAGCAAGCATGCTGCTACCCTAGTGTCTACAGGACTGGATTGACTGAAAAACCAAAACCAAAAAGAAAAAAAAAAAAGGCAGCTATTTTACACATCCATTTCAACACAACAGAAGTTAAAAAATATCTGTCAATTGTAAACACTGGAAAGAACCAAAGTTGGCCAAAAAAAAAAAAAATTGAACGTAAAATTGGAAAAGAAATGTAGAGTCTGAATACTGCAAATTGAAATACATCCCCCAAAGCTGCAATTTTGGCATTCTTCCTAAAAAATAGATAATAATAATAAACCCCAAATAAAGGTCTAACGTGGCGAGCAGGATTCAGTCACAAAGAGCTCGAGACACTTTGCATACTGACCAGATACAAGGTGAACAGAAATTATAACTTATTTATGAGGCTTTACATATTTCAAACTCGACTGAAAAGTATAAAAATAAATTGTGGACTTTGTTCTTTAAGCACCAGCTGTGCCCAGCAGCACAGTGGTTATCTCTGCTATACTAACAAAGGAAACAACAGGGTCTCTTTTCTTTTTTTTGTCTTTTTTGTGGTTTTTTTTTGTGTCTAGGACTACTTGATTTTGAGCTTCCCAACCACACTGCAACCAGCATTGCAATGTTTGCTTGTTTGAATATACACAGGGCCAGCTGAGCCCTGATTTGGTGACGGGTTTAACCCTGTTTTTAACATGTTTTACTTTTTAAAAGCAAGTGCACAACGAATAGAACCTTTCTAGAAATCTCAAAGAAAGCAAAAAATAGAAATCAAAATTAAAAAAAAAAGAGAAGAAGAGAAAAAATTAAAAAAGAAAAGGAAAAAAGAGACATTCCCTCCCTCCCCCCATTTATGCATTTTTCTGGTTGGTTTGTTTGTCTTTCTTTTTTAAAAAAAGGCAACAGACACTAGAGGAATGAGATGGGTGTGTGGGTTGTGATTTCAATGCTCGGGTGAAGGTTTCTGCCGTCCCCTCTGGTGCTGATCATGCTTTGCTCTCGCTCTCCTTTGTTTGTGTGGCTTCGTTGGGCACCGTCTTCACCTCTGCCGCGGGGCTCTTCCTGTCCTGCACGGCGCCCTTGTCCTCTGCTGGCATTTTCCTGGGGAGAAGCACCACAAGGACAGGCTTTAGAGGCACAGAAACACAGCTGGGCTGAGCTAGCCACGGGGACAGAGTGGCTGGTGGGAGCAGATCCCTCTGGGAGAGCATTTCCTGATGCAGGAGTCTGGAGAGCCCAGCTCAGCTCCCCACCCTGCTTCATTCAGGTCTAGATTAACATTTTTTGGCTTTCCCTGCTCAGCTGCAGGGGTGCAGAAAGGAGCAGCAAGGAAAGCTCCCCCAGCTGCAGAAGGATTTGGTTTTAGCACCCCAAGCTAAAGCCAAATTGTCAGCTCGCTTCTCTCAGTTAAAGGCTTCTGCTCTTTCTAAGAGTTGTTCTCTCTCTTTTTAAATTATTTTAATTCCTGAATGTTTGTTTTTTAAATTTTTGTTTCTCAAACCTGAACTAGCGCTACACCTTCCACATCCAAACTATGTTGAAGCTTTTATTATTTCAATACTATGACAAAAAACATGGTTCACACTAAAATAGTCATGCAATTCAGCAGCAAGGAAAGCTCCCCCAGCTGCAGAAGGATTTGGGTTTAGCACCCCAAATTGGTATTCATTGGAATTGGGATTTTCTGAAATGGAGATCTTCTGAAATTGGTATTTACCAAAATTGGTGTTTTCCGAAACTGGAATTTGCTGCAACAATTTGGAATTTGCTGACAATTCAGCAGCAATCCCATTTTTTTTGTGTTCTTACGGGAAGCCAGTCCTGAAACCCCTGGGGTGCTGGAGAAAGGGGAACACAGAAGACGGGAATTCTGTCACAGACATCTTCACAAGCCTGAGGGAGGTGACCACCCTCAGAGGTGACAACTGCCAGCCCAGCCAGGGCCCAACATCTGCAGCACAGCTGGGACCCCCCAGCCCCCAGGTGCTGCTCTCTCTCTGTCCTGCCCAGCTCAGGGTGCTCCCCATCTCAGCCAGGCTCACACTGCCCCAGCCTGGGGACAGCTCCAGAGCCTCCAGTGCTGTCAGCCCTGCCCAGGGCACTGCCTGCTGCCCAGCCTGACCCTGAGTGAGCCCTGAGGCTCCTCTGACCTGCAGGAGATGGGATCACTGACCTCCAGAACATCAGCACTCTAAGGAGAGCTCTTTATACCAAACTGAACTATTCCTGCTCTTCCTTACGAAACAATAACCCAGGACAGACAAAGCTGCCCAAAAGCCTGAGGAACAACAACAATTTATCTCTGATCAATTCCCAGCTCCCTGTCCCTGCCTCCCTGGCACAGCCTCTCCTGCTCTCCTCCTGGCACCTTCCAAGCCAAGCCCTGTGGCCTCTCAGGTGAGTTAGTTGGCTAAGGGAACAGTGAGATTAGTCAAGAGAACACCCAACAGAGGACACAGCACGAGCACCAGGGCACGAGGGACACAGCACACAACCAACACAAGAGTAAAGGCGGCCGTACTCGGTCTTTGCGGGGGCAGAGCTGTCTGCAGCGGCAGCAGCAGCCTCGGGGGCTTGCCCACCAGCCCCGTTGGCAGCAGGAGGAGAAGCAGTGCCAAGAGCTGCAAAAACATCCTTGGCAAGGTCAATGTCTGGTGGCTTGAAGGTCCCTTCGTCCATTTTAAAGTCCTCGTTCTGCGAGGGGTTGGCGGCGCTGCCCGCGGCAGCCTCGCTCTTCGCGTTGCTCGGGTTCTTGGGGGTCTCTGCCGGGCTCTTCACCGTGCTGGGCTGCACGGGCTCCTTCTCGGGGCTCTTGGCCACCTCCTGCTTGGCCTCGTTGGGAGCTGCAGGGCTCGTGAGGCTGGCGGGGCTGGGGGCGCCCGCCTTGCTCCCGGCTGGGGCGGCATCGGCGGCACTGGGGCTGAGCACGGCCTGCCCCGGCAGCACACCTGAAGATAAATTATTGGTGGCCGGAGCAGAGCTGGGGGTGTCGCTGAGATCGACCAGAGGGGCCACTTTGGGGGCGGAGGAGGGTGTTGGTGACACTGCCGAGGTGGCGGCCGTGCCCTTGGCCGGGGTGGCCTGGCCGGGAGCCGCGGCCCCGTCGGGAGCCCCTGCGGGCGGCGGGGCAGCGCTGGAGGTCAGCGTGGTGCTCTCGCTGGTGGGGCTGTTCTGGGCAGTGGCAAAGGTTTCAGTGATAGTGTCAGAGTTAGTGGTGCCCGTGGTGACAGAAGGCAGCATGTCCTCCACGGTGGCCGCGGTGTCGGCGGGGTGCCTGCGAGGGGGACACGGGGACAAGAGAGAGAGAGAGGGAGAGAGAAAGAGAGAGAGAGAAAGACAATGAAGGCCCGAAACGACAGCAGGGAGAGGGGGCAGAGAGGGCAGAGAGGGAGAGAGGACAGCACACACATGTGACATGGAGGGGGACTCGGGAGCAGAGACGTGCAGAGGTCAGACATGCAAAGGGAGCGAGGCTGGGATGGCTCAGGATCATCAGGAAGAGAAAAAAGCCAAGAGGACGTGACCTGCAGGGATGGTTTGTTCATGTGGAGTGCTTGGGCTGAGGCAAATGGGATCCTGTCAGCTTGCAGAAACTCTCCTCACCTAAAACTCTCCTCTCAGCCTGGTGGTCCTGAGCTCTCCAGGCAGCTCTGCCACCCCCCTGAGCCTGCAGCCCTGTGCCACCAACACAACACAACATGGGACCCTGGGTCCAGCCCCTCACCTCGTCCTGTCCTGCAGCTGCAGGTTTGTCTAAGCCCCCCTCAAACCCAAACTCCTTCCTCACACATAAATGCAGACTCAGCTCCCAGCTCTCTCTCAGAATGCTCAGCCTTGCTGTGACTCCACATCCAGCGCCCAGCTCCTGGGGAGGATCTCTCCCCATGGGTTCAGGCTCTCACCCAGCACTGCTGGGGCTGGTTTTGCTCTGGATCCTTTGCAGATCCTGGACAGTGCTGGATCTCCACATGGGACAGAGCCTTTCAGCAAACACTGCTTCCTTCCACTTCCCTTCCAGTGCTGGGAACAGCAACCACTGCAGCTTGACAGGAGGCACTTCCTCACTGGCACGTGGAGATTTTACCTTTCTTCCTCTCTTGCTGCCCTAACTGCTGTTCCTGAGGGGCTGGGGCAGCTGAGGGCAATGCAGTGCCCCTGTGCTAGGGCTGCCTAAGGCCACATACTCTGGCTCTGTCAGCGGGGTGGTCTCGTTGGGCTCCGTGTGCTTCCCCCCGTCGTGGTTGGGGGTCCTCTCCTCCTCCGTGCGCACCTCCACGATGGGCTCCTTGGACTCATCCTTCCTGCAACGAGGGAACGGCAAAGGGAGTGATGGCTGCTCCTGCAGGGACAGCCAGGCACGGCCACGGCCATGGCCAGACACACGGACACGGCCAGACACACGGACACGGGCCCGAGCGCTCCTGGGGTCACTGCTCCTTCCAGGCACCCAGCACGGAGCTCCGGGGGTGTCCAGCACTGGGATGACTGGGGTGTCCAGCACTGGGATGTCCAGCACTGGGATGTCCAGAACTGGGATGTTCAGAACTGGGATGTCCAGTACTGGGATGACTGGAATGTCTGGGATGTCCAGCACTGGGGTGTCCAGCACTGGGATGTCTGGGATGTCCAGCACTGGGGTGTCCAGCGCTGGGATGACTGGAGTGTCCAGTACTGGGATGTCCAGAACTGGGATGACTGGGATGTCCAGCACTGGGATGTCCAGCACTGGTGTAATCAGCACTGGGATGACTGGGATGTCCAGCACTGGGATGACTGGGATGTCCAGCACTGGGATGTCCAGCACTGGGATGTCCAGCCCTGGGATGTCCAGCACTGAGGAAACCTATTTGATGGCTACCAACAGGAACAAGACAAAACCCCAGAGGAGCAGCTCCAAACCCACCTTCCTGCCAGCCCCCTCCCTGAGGCAGCTCCTTTGCTGCCCCTGGGGCACAGAGGGGGTTCTGGGGGCACAGAGGGGGGTTTTGGGGCACAGAGGGGGTGTTTTGGGGTCAGTACTCACGAGAAGGCCGCCTTGCCCTCCTCCATGTCCTTGCCCTTGGCCCCCGGGCCGGATTTGCCGCACAGGTTGACGGCGATGCACATGAGCAGCCCACACTTGTTCAGGAAGTAGCAGGTGACATCCACGGCCACCAGCAGCGCCACGAACACCACCACGAGGATGCCAATGATGGCAGCAGTGCCCAGGCCCGAGGCAGGGCTGGTGCTGGCTTCAGACACCGAGGGAGAGAAGAAGAGAAGGCATTCGGGTTAAAATGTGGGGTTTCAGGGCTCACACTGGGCTGCACTAAGTTGCTTTTTCAGAAGTCCACCCCTGTACCAGCCCTGTGCAATAACCAGTGCTTCATCCTACAGAGAATCTGCCTGCAAGGATGGCTCTGCTGGGGCTTCTCCCATCCCTGCTGGGGCTTCTCCCATGCCTGCTGGGATAAAGCCTGGGAAGCAAACAGCACAGTCCCTGCTGTGCACACAAGGCAGGGCTCCTGCTTCCCTCCTCCTCCTCAGGAGGAAGGTGCAGAGTGTCCCTGGCCCAGCCCAAGGAGCAGTGGAAGCAAAGGCCAGGCTCTGCAGCAGGGTTTTCCTGGTGGGATGCAGATCACTGGGGGATGCTCAGCGCTGGTGAACCCCCAGCTGGGGGGGTGAAACTGAGTCAAAGCCCTCCCTGGAGCTCAGGTGAGACCCAGCCCTGCAGAACCTGCTCATGGCTCCCCAGCCTCCCACCAGCCCAGCCCCTGGAGCCCCAAACCCTTGGAATCTTTGCTCTGCAGAACCCCAGCAGAGCCCCTTGATCCCCACTTGGACAGGTGAGAAGACCCTTCCCAGGGCTTGGAGAGAGCCACAGCCCCCGCCACGCATTTCTTTGGTTAAAAACAGGAGGCAGAGAGGTGGTGTTTCATTTTGTGACCCTGAGACGGATCAAGGAATGCAGGTCCCAGCAGGAAAAGTGCAGAAAAGCCACAGTGAGACACCTGAGGGATCACAAGTCCAGCCCCTGGTGAGCAGAACATGGTCCCACAGCCCAGCCCCTGCCAGCAAGCTGCAGGGTGACATGGTGACAGGGATCCACCACCCTCTGGTGCCTGCAGGGAGTGAGGAGGGCAGGGATCTTCCCCTCTGGGTGTGCTCAGGATCCCTGCAGGGATGATTCAATAATTCAGGTGAGCTGTGTCACACTTCCCATCCACCGCCCTGTGTGGGCCAAGGGGACCATCCCGGGATCAGACTTCTCTGGGTGCCTCCAGAGCTGCAATTCTCCCCTTCTGGAGAATTCCACTCCCACCAGAGTGCTGCTCTTTGCCTCCTCTTCCCCCCAGCTTTTCCAGGAGCTGTCACCCCCCAAATTCCTGCCCTGACAGGAACAGAGCCCTGTGCTCCCCCAGAGCCCAGAGGGGAGCCCTCCAAAGCCCCCAGCCCTGCCCCTCTGCCCCAGGAGGAGGAGGAGGATGGAGCTGGGGAGAAGCAGGGCAGGCCTGCAGAGCAATGTCCCTGTTCTTGTGCTATTCTGGGATTTTACACCTCAAGACAAGGAAACTGGGCCAAGGTAATTGCCTGCAATTTGGGTTTCTAGGCTGGTAAGGGAGCCCTGCAATTTGCAGGAACTTTCCAACCTTTTCCCATTAGCTGTGGTTTCAGAAATCCTAACTCGTGGCATGAATTGAAATTCCAAACCTTCCAGGGACTGGCACAAGGAAACATAATATAAAAATCCTCCACAGCCTCATGGACATGGGAGGCTCTTGGTGCTGCCTTTCTTTTTCCTTGTAGAGGAATTTTGCTGCTCCAACAAAATGCAGGATCATAGAAGAGATTATTCTTTTCACAGACTGTCCCATCTGATTAAATTCAATTGATCTCCAAATACTTCCTGAAACATTCCCTCCATCCTGTAGCTGGATTTATGTTGTATTAAATGAAACTAATATTTAGACATCCCTCAAGGGTTTGCTGGAGCCTAAAACAACTCTGTGTACAAATGAAATGCATAAATAAATGGAGAAATAAATGTATAAATAAATAAAGAAATGTATAAATAATGTGGAGCAGCTGCTCACACTGTGTGTGTGAAATAAATGTAATAAATTGATGTTGGACATTTCTGACCTGATCCACATCCAGCCCTTCCATTACTCCCCTTTTGCCATTCTCAGGACATGGAGGAACAACATTTCCACCAGTTAAATAAGGAAACACAAACCATTAAAGAACTTCTGGAGTCCTTCATTCTAAAGAAGTGAAGAATTTATTAATTACAAATTATGTTTTCCAATGGAAAATGAGCTTCCTGCGAGACTGGCTTTTCTAATCCCCCTCATTTCACAGTGCACAGGAAAACCACCCAGCAGTTTTAATTTCTGCACAAAACCTGCCTTGACAGAGAGAGCTCAGCTGTGTCTTCCTGGGGGGGTCTCACTACAGAATGTCCAGGCACAGCAAAGACACAAAAAGGGTGGAGAGAAGCAGGTGGGACCGCAGGCATGGCCAAGGCCCTACAGGATTTGGCAAAAGGGAGAAAAAGAAGGGACAAACCCAACAAAAATCCACTCTGCAGCCAGCAGCCAACCCCAGGAGAACAGCTCTTTGTTCCCTGTGCAGGAGGATTCTCAGGGCTGTTCCCCCAGCCCACCCTGGGGACAAGGACCCTGCTCTGCCAGGGACAGAAATCCACATTCCAAACCCTCTGAGTGAGCTCCCAGCAGCTTGGGGAGCTGTGTCCCTGCTCTCCAGGGACAGAAATCCCTGTTCCAAACCCTGTGAGTGAGCTCCCAGCAGCCTGGGGAGTGAGGAGTGAGTGTTCCTGCTCTCCAGGGGCAGAAATCCCTGTTCCAAACCCTGTGAGTGAGCTCCCAGCAGCCTGGGGAGTGAGGAGTGAGTGTTCCTGCTCTCCAGGGGCAGAAATCCCTGTTCCAAACCCTCTGAGTGAGCTCCCAGCAGCCTGGGGAGCTGGCCTGGGGCAGGGATGGGGATTTGGGATTTCCCAGAGCTGCCCTGGATTCCTGTGCATTGTGGCCTCAGAGCTCTGCTCCTTCTGGCTCTATTGGGCCTGAAGGGACCCTAAATCCCATCCACCCCACCCCTGCCACGTCCAGGGCCACCTTCCACCATCCCAGGCTGCTCCAAGCCCATCCAAGCTGGCCCTGGGCACTTCCAGGGATGCTGGGCAGCCACAGCTGCTCTGGGAATTCAATCCCAGCCCCTCTCCACCTTCACAAGGAACAAAACCCCACCTAACCCTGCCCTCTGTCAGTCTGAAGCCATTCCCCCTTTCCTGTCCCCCCATCCCATGGAAATAATCTCTCTCCCTTTTTCCTGCCAGCTCCTCCAGGTCCTGCAAGGGGCACTGGGGTCACCCCAAAGCTTCTCCTCTGCAGGCTGAACACAAGAGTGACACCAAAATCCTCTTTCCTGGATAAATCACACCCCTGTCCCAAAACACAGTGACACCAAAATCCTCTTTCCTGGATAAATCACACCTGTCCCAAAACACAGTGACACCAAAATCCTCTTTCCTGGATAAATCACACCCCTGTCCCAAAACACAGTGACACCAAAATCCTCTTTCTTGGATAAATCACACCCTGCCCCAAGTGCCCACCCCACCCCAGCAGCTCCAAGAGCCAGGAGAAGCTGGGTTTAAAACCTTTTAGATAAAACCTTCTTTTTATCCCCCTGAACCCCGGAGTGCAGGCACCTGCAGCTGCTCCTGGTGGAGCAGGACATTCCCAAACCTTCCAGCCCAAACAATGCTCTGAGAAGCAGCTCTGGGAATGTGGAGGGACTTTAAGAGACTGGGAATCCTCCAGGGCTGCAGCCCCTCACACACACACAGGAACTGCAGGTGCCTGGGGCAGGAAAATCCCAGTGCTTGAGCCTCTTCTGCTTCCACATCTGAGCCTCTGCCTCCTCGCTGGCTTTTCTAAAAACTCTATCTAAAATTTCATTTTACTCACACCAAGGGCTGGGACCCTGAATGTGACACCCCAAGGGCCTGATCTCTGGTACCTGGCATGTTACAAATCTGCACAAATTAGTGCTAAAAACCCAGTTCTGCTCCTCATTCTATCCAACAGAAAGAAGCAATTTCTGTCTAATCCATGCTGGCTGGGCTCCTGGTTGCTGTGGAGCTGGGGATTCATTTCAGCCACGTTAAGGGTGCCACAGAGAATCCTGAACCCCTCTCAGGGACAGAACCCCCTCCACAGGTGCTGCTCTCTCTCCACACCAACCTCACAAAGTCACAGAGATCACTTTAATAGTTGTGATTTTGGTGAGAAACAGCTCAGCCTCAGGCAGGGACCTCCCTCTTGGATAAGGGGAAACCCACAAAAAGCTGATTTCAGATCTACAATGAGCTCAATTAATGCAGTTAGAGGGCAAATCACACCATTTTTTAGTATCAGGATTATTTTGCTGCACTTCAGCAAACTCCAAAGCTCTAACAAAGTGTCTACACTCTACAACACTGGAAATGAGGGGGTTTGTAATAAAAAATGAACCCACAGGTTTCTGTGTGTGACACCTGCATCAAGTTTGCATTCACAATCCAGACAGGAGAGTTCCAACACAGCAGAGCAGAAAAGGCAGAGTCAGCCACGAGTGAGGGCAGGATTCTGTCTGTCCCTGTGAGAATTCTGTCAGGAAGATGAACCCACCCAGCTGAGAGGCCTTGAGACATTGGGCACAGACAATCCAAGGGAGAGACCCCTGGTTTTAGGGGAGCATCAGAGGGGATGGATTTCATATCCCAATGGATTTCCTATCCCAAGTTTTCCATCCCAATGGATCTCCTATCCCAATGGATCTCTTATCCCAATGGATCTCTTATCCCAATGGATCTCTTATCCCAATGGACTTCATATCCCAATGGATTTAATATCTCAATGGATTTCATATCCCAAATTTCCTATCCCAATGATTTCCTATCTCAATGGATTTCCTGTTCCAATTGATTCCATATCCCATTGGATTTCCTGCTCCAAAGGATTTCCTATCCCAAAAGGATTTCCTATCCCAACGAATTTCATACCCCAATGGATTTCCTATCCCAATGGATTTCCCAAAAAATTAATTGGGGTTGTTTTGTCAGGTTTTTTTTGGGTAGATTTTTTTTTTGGGATGGGGAGTTCTGGTTTTGTTTTTTTTTTTTTTTTCAAAGAAGCAATGCAAAAATTATCTGAGTTTTGTCCAAGGGAATTCCCAGGATTTGATACCAAAGATGGCTCTACTGAACCAGTTTAGCCAGGGATTAATGCTGCCACACCCACAGCTAGCCAGGAAGATGAGCAAGGATCAGTAATTACAACTCTGCTGCTCAGCTCACTCCATCCAAGCCAAGATTTCCTGTCAGGACAGCAAGGAAAGGGATCTGTGAGAACACAGCTCTGGAAATCCACGGGCACTGGGTGTGTCCATGGGCTGGGCGTGCCCAGCTCCACCCTGCACACCAGGGAGGGACAAGGAGGAGGAGGAGGAGGAGGAAAAGCAGCAGTGGGATCCCAGCAGATGTTTATGGTCAGAGCAGCACGGCAGGAAAACCTTCCAGACATTTGGATCCACATGCAAGAGCCCCCAGAGACATCTGGGCAATCAGCAGGATGGTCTCTGACAAATCTTCTCTTTCTTTTTACAGTCTGTGGGTTTGTGGATGGGGCCTCCTTTTGCACAAGATCAGCACCAGATGTGCAGAGAAATCAGTAAAAAGCAGGATCTTAAAGGCTTTCAACATTGCACCTTCCTTTGATGAAAACAGCAAGCAAACAACACAAAAAAATCTTTCTTTACATCCATTTAAAAGGGCAAATTCATTACAAGTAACCAAAAAAAAAAAACGTTAAAGAGAAAAAAAACTTGGCTTAAACCTTTTTTCCTTGTTACAAAATACTGACTCTTTCAAATTAAACATTTTTTTTAAGTTCTGTGTTTCTTTTTTTTTTTTTTAATTTTTCTCTGAACTGACACGATCCTCTGAAGCAAAGTTATCTCCTTCCACACCTTGGTGGGACCCAGGCCTTCCCAAGCAAATATTGCTTTATTTGACTCTTTTTTTTGAAAGTTTCTAACAGAGCAAAAGCAGAGTCACTGCAGAGAGAAGCAATGAGACAAAGGAGGACGACGTTGATGGACTTCCCAAGGTCGCTGCAGGTGCCAGACAATGGTTCCCAGGAGGGGGGATATGGTTGTTTGAAAAACAAATTTGGTGCATGTGGCAAGCGTGGATGTTCCCCGTGAGATCCAAGGTGACCATGGATGACAGACATAGGAAAGGAGTTGGGGGAAAAGGGAGAGGGGAGGGAAAGGAAGGAAGAGAGGAAGAAAAAAAGAAAGAAAGAGAGAGAGAAAAAGAGAGAGAGAGAAAGAGAGAGAAAAATAGATAAAAAAAATTAGGTCATAAATACAGAAAACATAAGAATCAAAGGTTTAATTTAATCTCGTAAATTAAAATGGCTCAGGGTTCAAGGAGCAGCACATTCAGCACAAAAGGGGCAGAAGCTCAGCAAAGCCCAAAGCTGCAGAGCAGGGTCCAAGGCAGGGAGGGTGGGGAGTGCAGGCAAATGAGATTAAAATGAGATTAAAATGAAGGGACAGAAGGGGCTCAGCGAGACACAGGGAGATGGTGTCTGGAGCCTGAGAGCACAACGCTGCCTTCAGCAGGGAAAAAAGGAAAACAAGAAAAGCTTTGGTGCAGCACAGAATCCACCTGCCTGTCCAAGCCCTGCCCCAAAGCCTGGGTAATAAATCCACTTTATCCTGAGGCAGCACCAAGGCCTCAGGAATCCTCTGACTCTGCCATTCAGCCTCCCAGCTGCTTGGGAACCACTCCAATGCCAGTGGGATGATTGATGTTATTATTATTATTATTACTGTTATTATTACTGAAAATAACACCCTTATCCTTCCAGCCACTCAGAACTCTGCACAGGTGAGGGGAACAAAGGACTCCACACAATAAATGCACATTTTCCTGCAGGGAATCCCTGATCACTGCTGTCAGGTACAGCACAATTCCTGTTACAGCTCTGGCTCTGACTCCTGCACAGCTCATTCTGAGATAAAACCACAGAAATGCCATGGGAACAACAAGGAAAGGAAAGGGAAAGGAAAGGAAAAGAGGAAAGGGAAAGGGAAAAGGGAAAGGGGAAGGGAAAGGGAAAAGGGAAAAGGGAAAAGGGAAAAGGGAAAAGGGAAAAGGGAAAAGGGAAAAGGGAAAAGGGAAAAGGGAAAAGGGAAAAGGGAAAAGGAAGGGAGGAGGATGAGGGAAAGGAGGAGGATGAGAAGGAGGAGGATGAGGAGAAGGAGAAGGAGGAGGAGAAGGAGAAGGAGGAGGAGAAGGAGAAGGAGAAGGAGGAGGAGGAGGAGGAGAAGGAGAAGGAGAAGGAGAAGGAGAAGTGAAAGGAAAAGGTAAAGGAAAAGGTAAAGGAAAAGGTAAAGGAAAAGGAAAGGAGAAGAAAAAAGAGAAAGAAAAGAAAAAGGAACACACAGAGCCTCTTCCCTGCTGCAGCTTGGCAATGAAACCTGTGGGGCTGCACAGCAGAGGAAAAACCAACCTGTCCTGGAAATATTCTCCTCAGAATCTCAGTCTGGGCACCAGGGAACACCTTGGGAGGCCAAAATGACAAAAGCCCGGGAGAGAGAGTCACAAAGGCAGCAATAAGCAGGGCACTGCACCAGGACACAGCCCTTGCTGAGGAGCAGCTGAGCTCCAGCTCCTGGGGCAACCCTGCACACCCCAAATCTGCTTTTCCACCTGCAACACCAGAGAGGCAGCCTCAGACCCCGGCTCCTCCTGGGCTCCACACCAAGCTAAGCAAGGAGTAACTGCAGAGAGGCCAGAGAAGTTTCAGCTCTGGTAACAAACTGGCTTTCCCCTGGCTTTTAGTGGGTTCCTGCTCATGTTACATGGATTAAAGGGCTCAGAGGGGGAGCAAGGGTTAGAGCTGCTGAAAATGAGAACCACAGAGTGAGTTAATGAGTTACTGAGGGTCCTTCCACCCAAAACTACGCCCTGTCCAAGCACCCCCAGGCTCTCCTTTGGCCCATCTCCCTCCTCCTCACTGCCAGTCCCACTTTTCCCACTTTTTCACCCATTTCTGTGCTCAACAACGTGGCCTGCCTCAGCCAAGGGGCCTGCAGCATTCCCACAAGGTCTGAGCTGCTCCCTCCAGCCAGGGAATGGGCTCAGGGGAGCAGGGACTGAGTTCTCAGGGAAAGACTGAAGGAAACTCTCTGCTTTCAAGAGAAAACATCAATGAAATCCCATCAGGATGGGCTGGAGCACCAATCCTGCCTGTGCAGGGAGGCCCTGACTCAGCACCCCTGTCTTCAACCACCACAACTTCAATTTACAGCTACTCCAGCCACACATCCTCAGGTTTTGGTTGCTTTGTGTGGGTTTCCCCACTGCTTTTTTTAAATGTCCACGTGTAGAAAAGAAATCTTAACTGTCCTTCCAACAGATTGCCACAAACTGCTCAGTTCCAGCTTCCCAGCTGAGAGTTCTGCTTGGCTTTTGCAGTAATTGCCCTTATCCCTCACTTTATGAGTACACTCTGTTTTAAGAGCTTCCAGCAGCACCCTAAAGCCTTTGAGTTATTTTTTCCTGATGTCCTCCTCAACACTGAATCATTGCTGTTTGAAAGTCACTGTCATTTGGTAATTTGAACTGAAAAATGCTCAGAGAGAGATCTTTCACTGTAGCCATGATATTTTCTGAAAATTCCTTTCCTTAGGATTTTTCTTTCTCCTGAGAAGCTGAGAGGCCTCAGGAACAAAATGCAAACAATGGTTATCTGCTGCTGTGGAATGCAACAGGTGCATCTGGGATTGGGCTCATGTGGTTGTTTCTAATTAATGGCCAATCACAGCCCAGCTGGCTCGGACTCTCTGTCTGAGCCACAAACCTTTGTTATCATTCTTTCTTTTTCTATTCTTAGCCAGCCTTCTGATGAAATACTTTCTTCTATTCTTTTAGTATAGTTTTAATACAATATACATCATAAAATAATAAATCAGCCTTGTGAAACATGGAGTCAGATCCTGGTCCCTTCCCTCATCCTCAGACCCCTGTGAGCACGGTCACATTTCCCTGCCTTCTCATCCAACTGCCAGCAAACTCCTGATGCCTTTACTCCTCCAGAGATGGACTTGGGAAATCTGCCTTGTGCAGAGCATCCCCCTGCAGAGCTGAAGGCCCTACTGGGGTTTAAAACACAAATTCCACTTCCCACTCTCAGAAAGCTTTTCCTACCCCACACAAGGAGCCACCATTCCCTGGGAGCAGCCAGGCAGGGGTTTCACTCCCACATACCTGCCACAGGTATGCACGCAGCCACGACCCTCAGCCTCGGATGGGGGCACCAACCATGAGAGAATGGGCTGGAAGCAAGCGAGCTCTGGGGGTTACTGGGGCACACGGGGGCAGCTCGGTGGCATTAGGGGGCGGCAGGGCCCGGGGGGCACAGCAGCGGTACCTGGGATCACCGTGGGCTGGGCGGAGGTGCGGAAGGCGTAGTGGGCAGGCTTGGACTTGCCCTGCTGGTTCTCGGCCACCACGTAGACCTCGTAGTCGGCGTTCCAGTCCAGGGACTTCAGCATGACGTGGTCGCTGCCCGACGGCAGCCGGATCTCGGGCTTCCACTCCGAGGAGTGCTTCTGCAGGGAGGGCACAGGGCCACAGTGAGCACTGACTCTGACCCACAGAAAGCTGACTGTGGAAAATGTGTATTTAATTTAACAGGGCGTGGCTGTCATAGTGAGCACTGACTGACTCTAGACCCACAGAAAGCTGATTGTGAAAAATGTGTATTTCTGTGACCCGCAGATTGTGAAAAATGCGTATTTTATTTGACAGGGCAGGGCTGTTATAATGAGCACTGACTCTGTGATGCACAGAAAGTTGATTGTGAAAAAATGCATAATTTATCTGACAGGGCGTGGCTGTCATAATTAGCATTAACTCTATGGTCTACAGAAGTTTGATTGTGAAAAATGTGTATTTCTGTAACCCACAGAAAGCTGATTGGGAAAAATGTGTATTTTATCTGACAGGGCATGGTTGTCATTTACTCTGTGAACCACAGAAAGCTGATTGTGAAAAATGCATATTTTATTTGTCAGGGTGTGGCTGTCATAATGAGCATTAACTCTATGATCTACAGAAGGTTGATTGTGAAAAAATGCATATTTTATTTGACAGGGTGTAGCTGTCATAGTGAGCACTGACTCTGTGATCCACAGAAAGCTGATTGGGAGAAATGTGTATTTTATTTGACAGGCCATTGCTGTCGGTGACTCTACGATCCACAGAAAGTTGATTCTGAAAAATGCATATTTTATTTGACAGGGTGTGGCTGTGATAATTAGTGTTGACTCTGTGATTCATAGGTGGTTGACTGTGAAAAATGCGTATTTTATCATTGTCTTTTTGCAAATATTAAAATGAAAATTATATGTATTATGTTACAAAGTTATGCTGTGTTAATTTTCTTAACTTTAATTATATTACTATTTTTATAACTATTTTATTACTACTAAACTTTTAGAATTTTAAAAACAAGTGATATCTCCTGTTCATGGCCACTGAGTGTCACTGCATGACTGACAAACATTCCATCATCCCATTGTGAGAAGCTCTGCCCAGGGGGAGGAGCCAAGCGTTCCTACCTGGATATAGTCTGAGGTTTGGGACACCAGCACAGCCTTTCCACTGCATTTCCCAGAGGAGCAGCTGCTGCCTTTTCTACTGGACTTTCAGAGGGAGAAGATCTACACCCTTTTCTCCAGGACCCCTGCTCCTGCAGAGCCACCCCTGGCACTGCAGGAGGGCTGAGCCACAATTCCAATGGCTCTGCTGCCCACAGCCTGACCCACAGGGTGTCAGGCTGGGTTCTGACTCTGGCAGTGCTGTTTTAGTTCACTGCATTGTTTATTTTATTTTTGTTTTCTTCCCTAATAAAGAACTGTTATTCCTGCTCCCACATCTTGGCCTGAGAGCCCCCCTTAATTTCAAATTTACAGCAATTTGGAGAGAGGGGGTTTACATTTTCCATTTCAGGGGAGGCTCCTGCCTTCCCTAGCACACACCTGTCTGCTCAAACCAAGACAATTAAGAAAACCATTGCATTTATAGACAGGTAGCTTTAATTGCTCCTCTAATTCAAACACTATTGGCTAATTAAGAAACTGCTCTTTGGTAAACAAATCTCTATGACACATTCCACGTGTTCACAATACCAGGATTCACTGAAACCTTCAAATGCTGTTGGGGGGAGAGGCTGAGATGCCAAAGCAGCCTCTCTCCTGCTCAGAATCCTGTCTTCTGAGACAAAATCCCCTCACCTCCTCCTCTCATTCTGTCCCATCACTAAATTATTTCCAGACAGCAAAAGCTGCAAGTTCTGTTCCTTCCAAAGCACTTCTTCACATCTCAGCACGTCAGATTTAAACCAGGTGAGTGACAGAGATTCCTCCCTTCAACCCATCCCCTCCCAGAGCCCAGGGAGGCCCAGGGGCTCGGGGCTGTGCCACACTTACAGCTTTGTACTTGATCAGGTAGTGCCTGATCGGGGAGCCACCGTCGTCCTGCTTGATGACGTTCACCTTGATGGAGTTGCCATCTTCTCCTATGTGACCTTCCAGCTTGGGGGCACTGGGTTCCCCTGCAACGACGGGGCATTCAGGGTTATTTGGGGAAAAAACCAAAAAGCATTGTCAAGGAAAAAGTGCTTGGAAAAATTCAGAAAAATACTTCATCGTCCTCAGCTCAGGGTATGAGCTGACCCAGACACAGAGCACACCGTGTGTCTGAGGTAAATATTTGCCACACCCAAGTGTTTCTTGCATTTGAAACACCAAATTTCCATTTTTGTGTGTGCTGGAATGGAGTCAGTGTGAAAGAGATCCCCCCTCCCCAAGGAGATCCCAAGGCAATGAGCAATTCCTGTGCTGTGGAACCCCTGGCAGACACCAGGAGGTTCTCGGTGGCTGCTCCTGAGGATGGGATGTACAGAGCACCACTGGGAAGGACCCCGTGCCTCTCACACAGACCCAGGTCTGCACCCTGAATTTGTTTGGGGGTTTTAGAGCTGCTGGACCATTTAAATGAGTGTGAAAACCCCTGAACAGAACCCAGAGCACATCCCCTCACTCAGCCTGCACTGAGGAACTCCAGGGCATACTGGAGAGCAATTCAGAGAAACCCCTTTGCTCCTCTAGAATAATTTCTCCATTTCCAGGAGAAAAAGGCTATCATGTCCCAGACTGCCACCAGCAGAAAATGGAAATGTCCCTTCCTCCTGCAGGGCACCCTGATCCACATCCCCAGCCCTACAACCCACAGCTCCCACGCTGCTTTTCCTCCCTAGCTCCTCAATTCCTCCATGCCATGGAGGATCCCAGTCCCACCCTGCAGCTCTGATAAAAAAGCCAAATACAGAAGGTCTGACTGCAGATTTGCACCCTGGATTTATGGACAGGAAAGTTCATCTCCCACCATCCTTCAGAGGGAATCTGAAGCCCTTTCCCCTCCCTCCTCCCTTTCAAAGGAATATAAGCACAGTTTTTTGGTGAAATACCAATGGGAAAACTGCAAGGAGCTGTGATTGAAGATGAATTCCAGGCTGCAGCACTGCTCCAAGAAGGGAATCAATCCCACTGCAGGAGTGTGGGACACACACATTTGTGTTTAACAACACAGCAGCTCCTCTGACAGATGTAAAGAGGCAACTCTCCTTTTTTCCAGGCTGTCCTGCTTTTCCAAATCCTCTCCTCTGCCTTTATCCCCACTGCAGGGCTCCCACACCCCCGGATGCTCCAGATGTGGATCCCCCCTGGACAATTTCCCAGTGCACACTGAACAGGAAAAGGTGACACAAGTGTGGTTTAAGGCACAGATAGACAGGAAACCTCCATCCTCACCTGGGCACATTGAACACATCAGTTAAACAAGCAGAGATATTTTTTCCTCCATCCCAAAAGACAAACAGCACCACAAAGTCCCTGCTCCTGACTGTGGGGCTGAGGGGCAGGAGCTGCTCTGCAATAATTGTCCTGGTTAGTCACCAATTGTCCTGGTTAGTCACCAGAACTCACAGAAACCAGGAGCCAAAGCCTGGTTCTGTCACCCTGAGCCCCCAGGAGCAGCTGGGCTGAATTCTCAGTGTTTGTGGCAAAGGGACAGAACAAGAGCAGCATCTCCTCGCTCCCTCCCCACTCCCCACCTCAGAGATGATCCTTAATTGATCATTAATGAGCACAGAGATCCCCAAGGGCTGAGGGAACACTGCACTTACAGAATCTGACCTTTCCTCTAACACAGTCTGCATTTTGTTCCCAGTGACTGAGCACTGAGAGTAGCAGGAACATCCTCAGAAAAGATGTTTATTCTTGATTTCAAATGTCAGAGATGCTGCTGTACTTTACACACAGCCATTCCCATGATTAATTACCTGCTCTGCTGAAACTTTTCCTGCTTTTCTTCACTTTGAATTATCTAATTTCTAGCTCCTGATTCACTCCTTTCTCCCCCAATAGTTTAAATTCATTTCAGCTTTGAGAAACATTTCTCTTCAAAGAAAAGAACACTCCTAAGTGCTGAAAACCAACAGGTAGAGCAGTGCAAGCCCTGCTAAGGCATAGTTTTCTCTCCAGAAATAAGTGTTTATTTCATTTATCTCAAGCAGGTGGATGCAATCCAGACAGAGGGCTGTAAAATGAAAACTGGGTTAGTGTGTCAAACAGAGGAGGAAGAAGTTTAGTGGGAAAAGTTTAGTCCAGCAGATCAGCAACCCTATAATGAGTGAAGATGTGAGTAGCTGCAGAGAGAAGTGGTCAGCAGCAGGACTCATGCTCAGACATGCACGGGCTGCAGGGCAGAACAGCATCCAGGGGTGCTCCATGCTCAGGCAGGCAGGAACCAGCCTGTCCCTCCCTCCCCAGAGCCCTCCCAGCTCTGAAACAGGGGAACCCTCGGGGGACCCCCTTGGCTGCTGCTGCTGCTTGGCTGGGGAGAGCCAGCAGCTCCACAGAGCCCACATCTCCTGCTGGATCACCAAATATCTGATTAAACCCTCTCTGTGCAGGAGGGTGCAGGACCTTGTGCTCCCAGGGATGGAGGCTGATGCTCAAAGCTCCCCCAGGACACTCAGAAAGGAGGAAAGCCCCAGGCAGGAGCTCCAGCAGTGAGAGGAGCAGCCTTTGCTGGGCTGGGATCCAGGGCAGCCCAGCTCCACAGGAACCCAGGGGCAGTCTGAGCAAGGAAATGAGGACTCTGCTCCAGGCTCCCAAAGCTGCTGGTGGCAGGGGAGCTGAGGGCAGGGCTCTGAGCCACTGCATTTCCAATTTAATTCTCACCCACTCCCTGCTAAGCCATCACACTCTGATCATCTGCTGCTGCAGGGCAGCAGGAAATGTTTCCTGGTATCCTCTGAACCCTTTGGTTTCTCTTCAGGGCTTCCTTGTCCTGACACTGCCCTGCTGAATTGCAGAAATTCTGGTTTTTATTGTGTTTTTCAGAGGGTGCCACGAGCACCAGGAGTGGGTGCAACTTGAGGTGGGGAGAAAATGAAAAATCTCTGAGGTTAAATCCCTGCCCAGCTGGCAGCAAGGCAAGGTCCTGCATCCTCCCTGTGCTCAGAGAGCAAACCTGGAGAATTCTGCAGCAGAGGAAGGAGGGAAGGGCTGATTTCTGCAATCTTTGAGCACCACGAAACCAGGACTGGGAACAGACACCAGGGAGAGCCTCCAGGAGGGCAAAACCACAAAGAACAGGCTGGGGTCAGGGTGCACACCAGGGCAGCAAACAGCAGCAGCAGAAATAAGGAACAAAAGCAGAGGTGCAGAAACGAGACAGGAACATCTCCCACCCTGCTGGGTCCAGCAGAAACGAGACAGGAACATCTCCCACCCTGCTGGGTCCAGCAGAAACGAGACAGGAACATCTCCCACCCTGCTGGGTCCAGCAGAAATGAGACAGGAACATCTCCCACCCTGCTGGGTCCAGCAGAAACGAGACAGGAACATCTCCCACCCTGCTGGGTCCAGCAGAGGTGCAGAAACGAGACAGGAACATCTCCCACCCTGCTGGGTCCAGCAGAGGTGCAGAAACGAGACAGGAACATCTCCCACCCTGCTGGGTCCAGCAGAAACGAGACAGGAACCTCTCCCACCCTGCTGGGTCCAGCAGAAATGAGACAGGAACATCTCCCACCCTGCTGGGTCCAGCAGAAATGAGACAGGAACATCTCCCACCCTGCTGGGTCCAGCACAGGGAGGAGACAGGACAGGGCTCTCTGTGCATGCAGCCACGTGGGGAGGTTACTGGTGTTAGTTCAGTTTTCCTGGCAAAGCCCAGCCTAAATCCTTTCCCGGCCAGAAAGGTGATTCCAGAAGCCCTGGATTGTCAAAATCCAATTCCTGCCTGGCTCTCCCAGCTGCTCCTGTGGCTGGGGCAGCAGCAGAGCAGGAGCTTCCCCCCCTGCCCTGCTGGGACTGGGCCCAGGGTGAGGTGTGGCAGTGCCAGGAGCTGCTCTGCAGCACCCCACAGCTGCTGCAGGCTGAGTCCAGCTCAGACTGAGCCAGGCTCAACCATCTGCTGGGAACCAGCAGCTCCTGTGAGCTAAGCTCAGCTTAAAGCCTTGCCAGGCTCAACCATCTGCTCCTTGTTCTCCTGGGGACCAGCAGCTCCGAGGAGCTGAGCTCAGCCTAAAGCCCTGCCAGGCTCAATCATTTGCTCCTCAGCTTAAAGCCCTACCAGGCTCAACCATCTGCTGAGCTGAGCTTAAAGCCTTGCCAGGCTCAATCCTCTCCTCCTTGGTGTGCTGGGGACCAGCAGCTCCCAGGAGCTGAGCTCAGCTTAAAGCCCTGCCAGGCTCAATCATTTGCTCCTCAGCTTAAAGCCCTACCAGGCTCAATCATCTGCTGAGCTGAGCTTAAAGCCTTGCCAGGCTCAATCCTCTCCTCCTTGGTGTGCTGGGGACCAGCAGCTCCCAGGAGCTGAGCTCAGCTTAAAGCCTTGCCAGGCTCAATCATTTGCTCCTCAGCCTAAAGCCCTGCCAGGCTCAATCATCTGCTGAGCCCAGCTTAAAGCCTTGCCAGGCTCCCAGAGCCTCGGTGGGAGGAATGAGGGGCTCTGGCAGGAGCCAGATTCTCCCTGTGATGAGATCTGTGTGAGGTCTGGCTCCCACCACAGACTCTGTGTGTGCTGTTTCATAGGATTTATATGCAGAATTTTGTACAGAGAGAGGATTTTATAACAGCGTTTTACAGAGAGAGTATTTCATAACACAGCTCTCATTCTAGCTATGCTTAAGTTTTACTCACAATAAAAAGGGAATTATTTCTTAAATCAAAGTGTGACATACTCCAAATAACCAGATTTCAGAGAATTCAGGGTTATTTTGGAAGGTTACTAAACAGTGTGGATGTGTGCCTACATCTCTATAGAAATGTGTATTTTATAGGGTCAAAATGCTGCTAAAGCAACAGGGGAGAGGGTGATCCCAGAATTGAGCCCTAATTTCCCATTTGAGTCTGTGGCTGGTCCCACAGAGAGGCAAAAGGATTTTGGCCTTTGGTGCTCACTCCAGAGGATTTTTAGCACCTTCCTAGGGAAGTTCCTTGCTGGACTCTGAGAGTGAAGCAGCAAATGACTGAGCCAGGT